GGTTTTGGTGGATCCGAGAATCAGAAAGAAGAACTACCTAGACTGCCACCTGTCAAACTAAAGTCAACTGAGAAACTTTCAAGTATGAATTGGGAAGAGAAGCATGAACATGATGATGCACATGGACAGATTCTTAATGCTGACAATGCTTATCTTATAGGATCATTTCTTGATGTTCCTCTTGGTCAAGAACTAAGCTCTTCAGGTACATTACTCAAATTGAATTTGTTTTGGTACTTTATGAATTATACTGTTTCGTTCTAACTATTTTAATTGAATCTTTAGGTTTAAAAAGGCCTGTAGGAGGTAGTTGGAGGTCAATAAGTCAAGGGATTACAGAAGACACATCGGATCTTGTTTCAGGTTTTGCAACAATTGGTGATGGTTTGAGTGGATCTATTGATTACCCAAACCCACATGAGTATTGGGATTCAGATGAATATGATGATGATGATGATGTTGGGTACATGAGACAACCAATTGAAGATGAAACATGGTTTCTTGCCCATGAAATTGATTACCCAAGTGATAATGAGAAAACAACAGGTCAAGGAACCAGTCCAGATCCACAAGAAAGAATCATCCCAAACAAAAACGAAGATGATGATCAATCATTTGCAGAAGAAGATTCATACTTATCTGGTGATCAGTATCCAATCATTACTCATTCCAATGTTGAGTATGATGGAGAGTTAATGGAGGAAGAGGAGTTGAGTTTGATGAGTGGAGAACCTGTGTGGCAAGGGTTTGTGTCTCCAACCAATGAGCTTGTTATGTTTGGTGAAGGGAAAGTTGTAGATGATGGTGGAAGTAGATCAATTGGTGTAGGGATTAATAATGATGTGACTGAAACTTTGGTTGAAGGTGACATTGATAATAATGATCTTCCACTTCCACTTCCACTTCCACCAAACAGAGTTAAGAAAGAGACACCCAAGAATGTGAGTGAAGGTGGATTTTCTTTTCCACCTCCTAAAAACGGACAGGTGGCGAGTGTTTCTAGTCAACCTTCATGGTCAAACTCAAACAACAATAAGGCCATTGTAGGTGATGACAGTGATAAAAGCTCAAGGGAAGAAGAAGAAGATGATGATGATGGTGATGTTTTGAATTCAGCAATGCCCTTGGATTATGGTTTTGGTGAAAGAGGGCATATTGGGAAAGAGGAGGATGAGAAAGTTGTTGATGATTCAAGAGAAGATGAAGAAGATGCAGGGGCAATTTTGGAAGATGAAGAAGCGGTTGCTGTCCAAGAGCAAGTGAAACAGATAAAGGCTCAGGAGGAAGAATATGAGACCTTCAATCTTAAAATTGTGCACAGAAAAAACAGGTATGATTATGAAATCTAATGTATCTACATATCATGTTATGGTTTGGTTTATTTTATAAACTAAATATATCTTTTTTTTTTTAAAAAAAAAAACACAGAACTGGTTTTGAAGAGGACAAGAATTTCCATGTTGTTTTGAATTCTGTGATTGCTGGTCGTTATCATGTAACCGAATATCTTGGATCAGCTGCATTCAGTAAAGCCATTCAAGCACATGATCTTCACACAGGGATGGATGTATGTGTGAAAATCATTAAAAACAATAAAGACTTTTTTGACCAAAGTCTTGATGAAATAAAGCTCCTCAAATTTGTCAACAAACATGACCCTGGTGACAAATACCATCTTCTCAGACTCTATGATTACTTCTATTACCGAGTAAGTCACATTGGTATAATACTCAATTCATTCATTCTCTTTTTAGTTTTATTCCAAATATACCCTTACCTTACATTTTCCAATAATACCCTTTTCAGGAACATTTGTTAATCGTTTGTGAACTTCTAAAGGCAAACTTATACGAATTCCATAAATTCAACAGAGAATCCGGTGGTGAGGTTTATTTCACAATGCCAAGATTGCAGGTTTGCTGTAATTTACATTTTTGGTCCGAAAATGTGTTTTTTTTTTTTTACAATATTGGTTCTTATTTGAGAGATTTGTGACATTTTTGTTATGTTTATGTAGTCAATAACGATCCAGTGTTTGGAGGCGCTTGAGTTCTTACATGGTTTAGGGCTTATACATTGTGATTTAAAACCTGAGAATATATTGGTGAAGAGTTACAGCAGATGTGAAGTGAAAGTGATTGATCTTGGAAGCAGTTGTTTTGAAACAGATCATCTTTGTTCTTATGTCCAATCAAGGTCTTATCGTGCCCCTGAGGTTCTTTTAGGGCTTCCTTATGATAAAAAGATTGATGTTTGGTCACTTGGCTGCATTTTAGCTGAACTTTGTACTGGAAATGTACGTATTCTTTTTCCTTTTTCTCTTTTAAAATTTTAATCTTTAAACAAAATAATATACATATAAAAATAAAATGAGGTGTATGTGTTTGTTTGTTGTAGGTTTTGTTCCAGAATGATTCTCCAGCTACTTTGCTTGCACGTGTGATTGGAATTATAAGTCAAATTGATCAAGATATGCTTGTAAAAGGAAAAGATGCACATAAATACTTCACCAAAAACCATATGCTTTATGAGCGTAATCAGGTACTATGATTATAATAATTCTTGTATTAATCTGTGCATGTAATAATGTACAAGTTTTTATTCTTCAGGACACAAACAGATTGGAGTATCTGATCCCAAAAAAGACATCTTTAAGGCACAGATTACCAATGGGTGATCAAGGATTCATTGATTTTGTCTCCCATTTACTTGAAATCAACCCAAAAAAGCGTCCTTCAGCAGCACAAGCCTTGAAACATCCATGGTTATCATACCCTTATGAACCAATTTCCTCATGATGAAAACAAAATCACCAAAATACCCTTGGGTTGGATAAACACACAAGTTAAAACAAAACATGATGTACCTTAAAAATACATGGGTTTTAGGGCACCCAAACGGAGGGTTTTTTTTTAGACATTCCACGTCAGCAAAGTGCATAGGGTATGTATGTGCATGGTTTGAGTAAGTGGCTGGCAGTGCCCTTTTCCCTTGCCAAGTTGTATTTATATTTTTGTGTAATGGGATTTGTGATTTTTTTTTTTATTACCGATTTTGATTTGTTGTGGTGGAAGGGAAATATTGAAAATCTTTGTTGTAACTTCTCACTTGTACATGAATATGATAATTCACAGACAGTGTGGTCGTATACTTTATACTTTGATGTAGGCAGTCGTGGTTTAGTATTAGTGTTTGTGGAAATTGAAATACCCAATTAACCAATTTTTCGGTTGGCTTTTCTTCCATTCATTAATCATCATGTTGTCACCTTTTGCCCTCTTCATACATTTCTAAGTCATGGTAACCTTTCTTTAAAGTAATTAACTAAACTGTCCCACAAACGGGAGAATTAATAAAAATAAATATTTTTTTTTGGAATTTGCAAAAAAATCAACATATGCGGAATGACTAACAAAAGTTGTTCAAAATAGGTAGTGGTTGGCGAAATAGTATACTTTAGATTATGACATTTTATATCTCGGTTGAAAAAATGTATTTCGGAATACAATCTAGAGTGTATGGTCGTGATGGAGTAAAAAAAGAAAGGTACATTTATTGCATAGATTTGTCCATTCAAGCTGTTTTGTCAAACGCGTATCACGGACTTTGTTGTCGACATTTGTTGATAAATATACGAACAAAGATCGACAAACAAGAGATAATAAATTATTTATTTTGGGAGACATGCAAAACTTACAGAGTCTGATTTCAAAGATAGTTTGACTAGACTATGACATGCACTAACCAACGCCTATTGTACATAGATGGAGAAGTTATGGCCTTCGGAAGATTGGTGATTCTTAACCCTAGGAGTATGCCGGACGTACGCTAGGAGTATGCCGGACGTACTGGCTTGAAATCTGGATCGCAGAGGCTTCAACATATGTTGGGCGTATGCATGGACTTGTTTAAGTTAGGCCTTGAGCCAACCTGATTGTAGGTCATTTTTTGGGCTTAAGGCCATCTTGGGCCATATTGGGCCTTAGAGGCCTTGTAGTTGGGGTTGGCTGCTTTTTTTGGGCTTTTTATGGATTTGGGCCTTAAAGGAGGGAGGCCCATTGAGGCAAGGGTAACGGGACCTCTTTGCCTTAAGTCAAGAATTAGGGTTTTGGACTTGAGTTCGAGATCACCACTTTAGAAGAAGAAGAACAATCATAGGAGAAGAAGAAGTCATTCGTTCATGAAGAAACCCTAAATCGATTTTTAAATGAGTAATATATCATTTATTGTTTTATCAATAATTATTATGCCATGTCATAATAGTTAAGCCAAGTCATCATTTAACCTGTAAGAGCCAGTGGGTAATATTTGAACAAAGCATATAGTTTGTTGGTGTTTTTTGTACAAAAAGTTTACCTGGATGGTGTTTTTTGAATATACCAAACTTGAATGGTGTTTTTTGAACAATTTTGAAACATAGTTACCCTTTTGAGTCATTTCCTCTTTTTTTTTCCTTTGCTTATTTTTTACCGGTAATTGACGGTTAACACAAAATCAAATTTAAACAAAGAATTTACTTCGTTGGTGTTTTTTGTACAAATGTTTTACTTGGGTGATATTTTTTTGACACACCAAACTTGAATGGTATTTTTTAAACGATTTTGAAACATGGTTACCCATATAAGTCATTTTCCCATTATATTAACTAACATAATTTATATAATATAAGTATATTAATGAAGAAATCTAGTTTTTTATTATAGAATTTTCTTACTATAAAAAACTTATATACAATCTGTACTCAAAATAAAAATGGAAATACCCATATGTTTTTTCATATTGTGTTGTTTAAGGATATATTAGAATCCATTCATACCTAAATATTCTATTATCAGCGACTTAAGTTATTAATATATTGAATGATAAAAACAATTTTGTTTGTAGAAAATACACAGGAAGGATTTGGCAACTGCAGCAATCATTCACAATGGTGTTTTAGCCTTTTACACGATTACGTGTGATTTATTTACCTCACCTCATTTCATTATTTTGGATTTTCGTTTGGTTTGAGATTTCCATTGCAAACAAAAAGAAGCAAAGTTAATTACATCCCATTCCCATCCATGATCCATATCCATAAACAAAGTAAGAAATTATCAAAAATCAACTAATAAATCCAAATTAATAGAATCTTGTATTATACCTTTTTATGGTATGAGAGTTAGTGTTTGACCACCGTATCCGTATCCGTATGTGCAGTTAATTTGTTGAACCCACCGCAATCAAAATATACACAACCCCGTAAGATCATCATCCGGTACAGCTAGCCCTGCTGCAAAATCCATATCCACTTGTGGATCTTCTTCATCAAATGTCAACAAAGAAGAAAGATCCCCTAATTCATCATCTATCCGCACTAAATCCTCAACAGGGGTAGTAACGTCATTTTCTTCACTTCCAATATCCCTTCTCTTGTTGTTATTTGCTGATTGGCTGGTTGACGGCTGTGTAGGATGATGATGAGGTGGGGTAGTTGTGTGTTTATTGACGTGTGTCGGGGGTAGATTTGTCTTTTGACTTGGCTTTGGTTTTGGGGCACGTGGTGGTTTGGTGGCGGCCCGGGCGCTTCTTTTTCCTCTTGTCCCACCGGAGATGTTGTTGAGTAGTAGTTTTTTGCTTTTTCCTCTGTTTGATATTTTTGCTTTGTTTATGGCCAAATCTTCATCTGCCTCATTTTCATCATGTGGGATCATTTCATCTTCATTCTCCTCCAACCCAGGCTATATCATACAAAAAACAAAAAGTTAAAACAATAAAACATGACTCGACGCCAAATGACCATTTTACCCTTACATTCCAAAAAAACAAATTCCATAATATTCATTCAACCCCTTACCAGTGTATCAGGACAAAGGCCTATGCATTGGAGCTCAAGTAGAAGCTTGTCATCTAAAGACATCTCTTCATACTCACACCCATGGAACTTTGAGTTTGAGGTCCCACCCAACATCTCATCTTCAGTAAAAGATTTCTTGGTCAAACCAAGACTTTGACCACAACTATTTTCCACCCTAGCCTTTTTTCTAGGCTCAGAATCATTGAGGCGATATGTATCAGAAAAAGAATTCTGAATTTGTATATTTTTTGAATCCCATTCTTCAAGCCCATCAATCTCATTGCCATCTTCTATAATTAGTGCTGATAATACTCTTTGATAAAATGGTGTATGCCCATTAGATCTTTCATCAACCATATCATGTTTCTTCAACAAAGACTCGGTTTGCTGATGTGGCGTACGTGTTTTTCTTTCTTCAGAAGGAAGTGCATCAAGGCCCAACTGGATTAGAAAATTAAAACCATGTTAAAAAAACTGAATGGATGATGATAAAAAAACAAAAAAAATATTGTTAAAAAACTGTTCAACCTGTTGGGATAATAAGGACTTTTCCTCAGAACTGATGGGAGTAAATGATGATCCCACCTTCTTCAAGAATGGCCTTGAACATGCTACATTTACAAATAATAACATGTTATTGTTTGAAAAGATTCCTTTCATGTCACAAATATATAATAATAATGATAATAATTAATAAATCATAAAACAAAATAGGTTCTTACAACTAGCTATATGGGCATGACTTGCAGCTGATAACATGTTTTCCTGATCATCATCAGATTCCCCTACATCATCATGTACAAAAGAATATAAAAATGTATGAAAATCCATTCCATTCACACAAGGCCAACCAAACATGATCATTGAATGTAACGACTCATTCCATTCCATTCCTTCATCATTTCATTCCAATTTCCATCCAATGAAACAGATAAGAACAAAAAAACAAAATACAGCCTTGGATGTTTGTATTTGCTAATCATGTACCTGTAGAATAAGCTGAGCTACTATTTTGCAAAGGGGCATCACTGGAAAGGCCCTTGTATTCTGAAAGCCTTTTCAATCGACAACCTGACTTGCTGGAAAATCACAACATTCTTGCATAAATAATAACTACACCACAAAATGTTTAAAAAATTTTTTTTTTTTTTTTATTGCAAAAAGATTCCATACCTGTCATTCTTCTTACAACCAGCCTTATCTAATTCATTCCCCATTGGTGACTTGCTACACCTTGAAATCAAAAGTCCTCTTGCACTACGCCCTTTTCTCAACACACTTTCTTCATTAATAAAAGCTTTATTCTTCCTTGCAAGTGTAGCACAAGGTCCAATATCCTGAACATGAAATCCATCAGCTTCATTATTTCCCATTTTGCCCTTCGTTGGCCTTTCACCACCAACAGATTCTTCAACTTCAGTTTGAAGAGTATCAAGTTTAAGAATTAACTTCAAGGAACCATTTGTTGCATTTCTATGGGGGCCATTAGAAGGTGAACAGTCATCTTGATTTGAGACAGGAGACACCAGGTTTGAATTTGATCTCCTTGTTCTAGGCAATTTTGGTGGCCTTTGACCAACCCATTGACTCAAAGAAGGTTTGTGATTGTTATCACTTTCTTGTAAAGTAAGTCTCTCCTTAGCCATTGCAGTCTCCCACCCTATTTGTGTAGTCCTCAGAGCCTTCTTTTTTGTCAATGGACTAGGACATGTAGTGTAAGAATCATCACAGTTATTGGACCTGAGAATACAGGAAAGGTTAGAAATATCTGTTACTATTAAGAAAGACACAATATTAAGAAGGTGAAATAACATAAGAATAATTTTAGTAACACTTTCTCTACTGCAGAAAAATATTTCAACAAGGCGAGATCATTCAAAAAAACAAATGATGTGAATACCTGGAGATGAGGGCATCATATTGTTGCACACCACGTTCATCAATAACCCTGTTATGTGTAGCTCTTTTAGGCACTTCATCACTGTCAATAGGTCTTGAAAGAATTGTGCCTATTGAACGTTTTCTTTTAATTTTCTTATCCCATCCTTCTTCTACTGCAGCCAGCCTACGGATCTTTTCAAACTGATCAGATTCTCTGTCACTGTCCTTGAGAAAATTTACATCTTTTGCCATTGCCACAGGCTTCTTCTTTAGGCCATTAATCTGGCATTCAGCCTGAAATTCAGACACTGATGTTCGAGCACGCTTGCTGAGACAAATGTTCTTAGGTCGATCTTCAACACGCTCATTAACACTCTTCATTCGGGTAGTGATCTTCATGTTTAAAGCATCTGTTCTTCCATTAAACTTTAATTCACTCCTCTGTTGTTTCTTGGATGTTACAGCTTCAGTATAGTTATCCAATTTAACCAAGCGTTCTTCCATTTTATTTGATCTGTTTCCATTAACAAAGGCACATTCAAACATTAACTATCAATAAAGCCCTACCGATACTTTGTGTGTCTAATATATTTACACTTTGTATAGCAACAATACACACACTCGTATAAATTAAAAAAAAACCCTAAAGCTTTATTCGGAATTAATTACCTATCAAATTCAAATGAGAAACTTAATTTGAGTAATCGAAGTTACAAATAAACAAAAACTATTCCTATCCTTATTATCGCTAAAAGTCGGCGATCAACTGCAAAATTGTTGTCGAAATTTCACATTATCTGTACAGTTTACAAAATTTTACTATCTTTATTGATAAAACGAAAAATAAGAATCTACATTACGTAATTCAACGTTTAAGCAAAAACATGAATGATTTTGTGCCCTAGCTTTGACTCTGACAGTTTTGATATTTACGGAAAGGTAGAAAAAGTACACAATTGGAGTTGAAGAACGAATACCTCTGCTGGTAAAATTCTGTCGGCGTACAGCCGTACAGTTACGGTCGCCGGTGGTCGACGCCGTTTCTGTATTTTTCGCGGTGTCTCTCCTTACGCTGTTGCTTTCTATACACGTTCGGTTCGCGTCATCGGATAGGATGGGGCGAATCCTCATTTTTGAGGACAAAAACTTGGGCTTTCGGCCCATGATCAAGAAAAAGGCAAGTTTTAATTTTTAAAATCGGTGTTACTAGATTCTAACATTTAGCTTTGTATTTTATAGTTTATACGGGTCGATAAAAAAATTAATATGAATTTATAAATAATAATCATTTTAAAAGTAGAATTTTAAAATAAATACAAACAAACATTGAATAAGTAATAAATAAGTAACTCAATCTATATTAAAAACATCTTCAATGGTTAAGTTATATTATGGCTTAAAGTGATTGTCACCTCATTATACTACTAGGTGTAAGACTCATGTATTCATTTAAAAGAAATATTAAATATGAAATTTTTAACATTTGAGAAATTTGAATTTATAAGAAAAAATAAAAAATTATTAAATTATTAAAATTAAAGTGTTTTTTTTTCTTTTTTTTTAAATTTAAACTAATAATTTAGATAAATAAACATAGGAAACTAATGAGATTTTAATTTAGAAAATTTAAAATTAGAAGAAATATCAATTAATGATATTGATATGCATTTATTATTACAATTAATACATTTAAATATTATATAGAATTTAAAAAAATGGAAAAAAACCACAAAATGCTATGTGGAAAAAATTTAATTGAAAATAACTACAAAATGACATGTGGCCAAATCAATGTATGCATGTCATGTGGTAAAAAGTTCTTTATTTATTAAGGAGGATTAATTAATTTCGACCTATAAATAAATAAATGGTTTCTCTAATGATTAAGCTCATATATCTAAAATGCTTTATAAAACCTCTTATTTAATTAATTATTTTTTAAACACAATCATATCTTAATATGAAAATATAAAATACAACTATAACGTGTTTTTATTTATATACATAAAATATATAAAGATGTTATGTTTTAGTTATAAAAATAAAATAAAAACATTAAAAATATTATATAATAGCTCTAAAATAAAATATATTTAAAGTAGAAGGGGGTCAAATGTACAAATATAATAGTATATTGACCACTCAACCGATATTGAGTGGTAAAAAAAAAGTTGTTTACTTCAATGGTGTTAAGTGGTTAATAAATTTTGGAAAGGGTAAAGGAATATATTAAAGATGTCAACGGGGGCAAACAAGACGGCGTTTGCATCCCCAACCCCCACCCCCCAATATTTCCTCATTCCTGCCTCCGCCCCCGAAATTTCCAGCCTCCCGGCCCTCGCCCCCGCCCCGAATTCCTGGATCACCCCCCGCCCCCGATCGATTTCGAGATATTTTTTATTGAGCTAAAAGAAGTTGGTTTTGGGCATAAATAAACTATTTTTAGGTTAAGAATAATTATTTATAACATAATTTTACATGTTAAAAATAAAAATGTTATCACATCTCAAAAACGTTATACTGGCAACTTAAAAACATGATTTTTTTTGTTAAATTTTGGAAGCTCAAAATCATTAGTATTATTTATTATATTTATATAACTAATATATATATATATATATATATATATATATATATATATATATATATATATATAATATATATATATGAAAAACATCATAAATGGTCCTTGTGGTTACCTAAAATCTGAAGTTTAGTCCCCGTGGTTTAAAAACCTCATAGATGGTCCCTGTGTTTTCAAAACTTTTGATGTTTGGTCCTTTTTGCTAACTCCGTTAGATTTCTACCGTTAAATGAAGGGTATTTCCGTCATTTAACTATCCAGGGACCTTTTATGAGGTTTTATTTTATTTTATTTTTTTTAAAAAGAAAAAAATAATAAAATTTAATATCCAATGGGTCTCTATCTCTCTCTCATCAGATCAAGCACCATCGGCTTGTGACTTAATTTAGATCTGCAAGATCTGTGCTTCAACCGTGAAGAACGTTGGTGAGGAACGATTAAGCACACCGGCAACCATGGTGAAGCAGCGACTGTATCTATACTTCTCCCTCTCTCTCGCCAACCCACCGTGGCACCATTGCTGCTTAACAAGATCGATTTGCAGGTGGAGGAGATCGGGACAGGAGAAGAATGTCATTGAGGAGATCGGGACTGATATAGAGGTCGAGATTTTCTTGGTATGCATTCATTGGTTCTAGATTCGACGGAGGTCCCATTGCTCTTTCACTTTTCTTTTTTGCTTCCTTATACTCGAATCTACATTTGCAATCTGGGTTTTATAGAAGCTCTTGGTGTTCCGTCCATCTGATGAAGTTTTACAAAGGTACTAGGTGGCCGAGATCCTAATTAGATGAGGTAGAATCGCAATCAGAGACCGGTTCTTCCTCATCAAAGACTGTTGATCGATTGAAAAGGAAAACGAAAATAATAAGGGGGAAATCGGACTTACAGGGGTCGCAAGAGGTGATGCGGCTGGTCGGAGACGACCGACGGAAGCAACAGCTGACGACGACGGTGGTTCACAGCAGCGGCGATGATGGTGGCAGGGGCTGCTCCGACGGTTCTGCTGTTTCGTTTTCTCCTTTTTCCGGTGAGCTCGATGAGAGGGAGGGTAGGGAGGAATGAGGGTTGTGTTCAGTGGTGATTTTTAATCGAGAGAGAGAGAGAGAGAGACCCATTGGATATTAAATTTAATTATTTTTTCTTTTTAAATTAAATAAAATAAAAGAAAACCTCATAAAAGGTCCCTGGATAGTTAAATGACGGAAATACCCTTCATTTAACGGTAGAAAGCTAACGGAGTTAGCAAAAAGGACCAAACATCAAAAGTTTTGAAAACACAGGGACCATCTATGAGGTTTTTAAACCACGATGACTAAACTTCAGATTTTGGATAACCACATGGACCATTTATGATTTTTATATATATATTATATATATATATAGATATATATATATATATATAATATATATATATATATATATATTAATATTAATGGATCCCCCAGAGGGGTTCGGGGCGGGATTGTAATTTACTATCGTATTATTATGTTTAATACATTATATATATATATATATAATATATATATATATATATATATATATATATATATAGAGAGAGAGAGAGAAGTATTATGTGGCTTTTTAATTTTAAAATTTGAAAAAATCAAATAAGTGAAGTAGTGGCAGTGGAGAAGAAAAAGTAAAAGCCAAAAGGGGGCGTTTTCTCGTTTGCGAGAGACAAAACCCTAACATGCGACCGTCATGTGGTGTGGTGGTCGATTAAATGCGAAGGAAGAAGATTTGGAGGTTGCCAAGATGGGATTAAAAAGGTTAGTGGGGCTAAATTCTCGTCTACTAATAGTAATTTCCTAAATAAATGGTAACATTTTTTATTAAAATACCTTTCACGGCCATATATTTAAACAAAAGTAAAATAAATTTAAAAATATTTATAAATATATAGGTGACGCATTTTGATACATTATTTTGTTTTTCGCAAATTGTTTATGTTTATGTTTTCGCATGAATCTCTCTCTTTTTCTATATATATATATATATATATATAATATATATATATATAAGATATATATATATATATATATGTTGAAATAAGATTGAGATTAGAACAACAATGGAAAAATTGGGGCATGGAAAATTGGATAAAACCTTGTGAATAACAATAGAAGAATTTCCATGTTAGGGCAAACATCTCAATAATTCGATTTTGACACTGCGTTATTTTTTGTTTCAGTTTAATTACTAAGTTTTCTAAGGTGTTGTTTGTTTTTTGTAAAAAATTCTCTTAAAACCACTTATTTCTACGTGGCGTAGCACACACACAACACCTTTCATCTCGCAAAAAAAATCGGGCCTCCACTTAAAAAAAAACGTCGCACTCTCCCATCGACTCGACTGCTTCCTCGTTGACGCAACCTCCTTCCTCGGCGCACCCTCCTTCCTCGTCTGGTTAATCGACTTCAGGTAAGTTTTTTTTCTCTTATTCTTGTTGAATCGGGTTCTTCTTTTTTTCTTATTGAAATCTATTATATGTTGTTGAAATATTGTTCAATTATTGTTTCACCTTTTTTTTTCGTTTTTTTTTTTGGTTTATTCTTGCTGAAAGGTCATAAATTTATGCTGAAATGTCACAAATTTATGCTGAAATATCATAAATTATTGCTGAAATATCATACATTATGCTGAAATGTCATTATTTTTTGCTGAAATGTCATTATTTTTTGCTGAAATGTGATAAATTGTTGTTGAAATGTTATAAATTGATACCAAAATGTGATAAATTGTTGCTGAAATGTCATTATATTTTGTTGAACTGTGATAAATCGGTATTGAAAAACTATTTTCGGTTTATAAAATCAGTTTATTTTATTTTTTTAATATCTGCAACAGCCTGCAAATGTTAAAAAACCAAACACGCTTCTTATTATAGTTTGCAACTGTTTGGTCCACCTCTTCTACTGCAGAGGGTTGCAGAGGTGGTCCGCATATTTCATGAATTTTTTCTTCAAAAAAACAAACACCACCTAATTTTTTGCAATGTTAACCACTTCACCGATCACCCCGTTACCCGCTGACGTGGCATACTGATGTGTCGGTAATTGTTGGCATGACACTATTTTGTTATGTGGCGTTGAGTTGACATTATGATGGGTCAAAATTGAAAAAAATGACAAAAATACACTAAGTTTTCACTTTTTTTTAATATATTTTTGACACTATGTTGTCATTTTTTTCCTATTTTTGACAATCAATTTTTTTGTTTCAAATTGAACATCATTTTTTTCCAATTTCGTTCAATGTTGACGATTTACATATAAAAAACATATTTTTGTATAAATACAAGGTTTTTTATATTTAACCCATAATGTTATGTATAAATTTGTATTATTTATTTTATAACCATACTTTTCATTAAATACACAATTTCAATACGAGATTACATGTGCGGAGTGCATAGTCCGATAAGTTAATGTGATCTAGGGATCACTAGGGTCCGAGGGTTGCTCTAATTACTAAGGGTTCGTCTGTTGTATATATTCATGACTTTTTTT